TAGTAATATTTCAAATATTTACCTTAATCTTCTCATTGGTCCTTACTTGGCCGGATGGTCCAGTTGTGATACTTTCTGCAATGCGGCGAAACACATGCTGCATCAACTACAGAATAAAAAAATATATGCCTAGTCTAAGAAAAGCCACATCCTGACATGTTTAAAATTTCTTGCATAAACTTTACATGTATTACCAGATGAAAGGAATTGATCTGGTAACTTCCGCATTTTAGCAAGCCAATCCAGAACAATCACTTCTAACTCTGTTGCAGCAGGACAGCTCACCCAACTGAAACCCACAATGTTAAATGCAGCACTGAGCATTTCGCCAAGGAATCCAGCTGTGCTACTGTTGGAGCCTTGGAGGGATAATATGCAAAATAATTGGGACTTTGCCAATGCGTTATACCTGCCATTATCTTTTGACGGATATCTACATGAAGAAAAGATAATGTTTGTATCATTAACACCAAAAGAACTGGGACAGAAGAAAAGCAACTGACTGCAAACACTTTTCTTTGTGCATCGCATATTACAGGATATGAATTGACAACTGACTCGAAAATGAAAGAAATGAACATATAAATGGTTTAAAACAACGGCACGTATGATCATCAGTTACTGAAATAAAAGAAATGAAGAGTGCTCTCACCATCAAGAACATCTTGGAGACTTTCAGGACGATAAAGAGCTGAATGAGGAAGCAGTTCCCTTAAATAACCAGGCTGCGGAGAGGTCAAATTAGATTATACACTGTACATTGCGTAAATTGATAATAATTATTTAGAAGAAATACAATTTCCAAAGCATAGCCATGAAGAATAGATATATAATTTACAAACCGATCAAGTTTAGCACTACCTCAGCTCATTGATTTTGAAGAAAAGGTATCCATTTCAAATACATCTTAATATTGGTTCTCGTTCTGTCAATTCCTAAAACCCAGCTATCCAATAAATACATTCACAAATTGAAATAACCTCAAGCCCTTTCAGAATGAATAAAAAATAATGACATTAAAAATTGGGTGTAGAAAACTCTTTAAAAAAACTTTTTTTTAAAAACAAAGCACATTGCTAAAGTTTTGTACCTTAACTTGGCTGAGAACAGGATAAGATTCTAAGCTCTTGTAGTAATCAGCGATGAAATCCACCATCTTGTGGGCGTTCTCTCTCAGTTTCTCTGCATCCATCGGCTTCAATGATTCTTCCCTAAAAAAACCACCAAAAAACCCAAAAAAAATTACAAACGAATCCAAAGAAAACGGTGAAATGAAGAAATAAACAGTGACTAAATTGGAATTCTCACATTTTAAAGTGATAAATTTTGACCATAAACCCTAGAGAGACGAGAGAGACGAGAGAGAGTAAAGAAGCGCCGAGATTTTTTTTTTTTATATGGAAAGAATGGGAGGCGAGAGGCCTTGAAATTGTGGACACTGAAAGTTCGGACAAATTTTCAAAGGCGGACAAATTTTCTAAACCAACCTATTTGGACTTTTATTCCCAAAAAACGACCCCATTCAAAAATAATTGCAAAAACCGACCTGGTTTCAGCGCTGAGGCTGAAACCAGGTCGGTTTCTCTAAATAAATGTGAAACGGGTCTTTTTTTGGGAATAAAAGTCCAAATAGGTTGGTTTTGAAAATTTGTCCTTTCAAAGGCTGAATAGCCATATTGGTATTTTAATTCAACCCCATTTCTCAACAAAGTATTTTAATTAGGAAATTCGGCGATAAGACATTTTAATTGAATAAAATTATCATTTAGGTCCTTTTTCTCGTCGGCGGCCACTTTTCCGGCGAGAACTCATCACGTGCGTTGCACGTGGGGGATTAATCTGTGTTTAAGATGCTGATGTGGCTCTGTTTTCTGATGTGGCTCTGATTTCTTTCTGATGTTACGGCGAAGAAGAGGGGGAGGGATCCGAGCAGATCCGGCGGCGGCTCCGCCCGAAAGATCCAGAGGGAGTGCGTGAATTCGGTGAAGAAGCTGCAGAGGCGGGAGATCGGAGGGTTTCCGAGGATGGCACGCGGGGCTTCCTCAAATGCCCCTGAGAAGTTTCGGAATATCCAGCTCCAGGTCAGTTCTTTTCATCTGTTTGATCTTGGGTTTTGTGTTGATTGGGAGATAAGGGTTTGAATTTCTTCTACTCCTCGAAGGAGACGGTGCCGAGAGCCATGGATTCGAGGAGATTGAGGTCGGCACTGGAGGAGGATATGCGGCGATCGAGGGACTGCAGGAAGGTGGAAGCAGCGGAATCTGAGGGGAACGGGCCTCCTTTGGATGGAATCGGAGAGAGCTTCAGTGGAGGAGTCGAGGTGGTTGCAGAATGTGGCCAGGGATCCGCAGAAGGTGGAGATGGCGCTCTCCATTTTTGCTTTGAATTTTGGAGCTCGAGGGGCGAAGAGCTCAGGACCGCCGGATGGTACTTCAACGAGGAGTTTCTTTTTTATTGGCTAAACACAGATTAATCCCCCACATCAGCATCTTAAACACTATTAATCCCCCACGTGCAACGCACGTGATGAGTTCTCGCCGGAAAAGTGGCCGCCGACGAGAAAAAGGACCTAAATGGTAATTTTATTCAATTAAAATGTCTTATCGCCGAATTTCCTAATTAAAATACCTTGTTGGGAAATGGGGTTGAATTAAAATACCAATATAGGTATTTAGCCAATTTTCAAAACAGTCTCTTTTGGACTTTTAATCCCAAAAAAAGACTCATTTCACATTTAATTTTAAAAACCGATCTGATTTCAGTCTAAGTGTTAAAATCAGATCGGTTTTTGAAAAAAAACTTCCGACACTTCACGGGATTTCAAGTCCCGTGAAATTTAGTAGCTATTTAACTAAACTGTTAAACTTCACGGGACTTCAAGTCCCGTGAAATTTCGTAGTTCAAATCCCGTAAAGTTTGTTAAAGAAAATAGGAGAAGGCATCCCACGTTGGAAGCGGTTCGTTGGAAATTGGGAAAAAACTAAAAGTAGGTTTAGTCCATTGAATTTCCAAGTGGAAGCAGTTCGTTGGAAATTGAGAAAAAGTAGGTTAGTGATGGCGACCATACTTTTTCGTCCTGATTCTCATCTAGGCTCTAGGCTCTAGGCTCCTAACTCTCCTTTGATAACTGGGAAAAAGTAGGTTAGTGATGCTACGCAGGCCATTCAATATTGGTACTTTCCCGAGACATTTGCCTGGTGGCCCCTAGGGATTATCATAGGGGGGATCTGGTTGCATTCTAATAAAAGTTTGGAAATTTTAAACAAACTTCACGGTACTTCAAGTCCCGTGAAGTTTAGTAGCTTAGGTAAAGAAAAATTCTTTAAGGACCCAAAATATAGGACTAATAAGGGGGACATGTGAGGTGTCCCCCTCTTATTGGATAATGAGTTGGCCATCATTAATGATGGCCAACTCATTATCCAATAAGAGGGGAACACCTCACATGTCCCCCCTATTGGTCCCATATTTTGGGTCCCTGTAGCAAAGCTCTTAGGTAAATAGTTGCTAAACTTTACGGTACATAAAGTCCCGTGAAGTTTGGGAACTTTTTTGTAAAAACCGATCTAGTTCAACCCTAAGGCTGAAACCAGGTCGGTTTTTACAAATAAACTTGAAATGGGTCGTTTTTTAAGATTAAATGTGCAAATAGGGTGGTTTTGAAAATTTGTCCCTGAAAGTTCCCTATTTGTTTTATCGCAAAATTCGAGATATACCCTTCTAGTTAAAAGTTAAAAAGGAGATAGCTTATTTTCACTTTGGTACCCTAAAGTTTGCTTTGATACTCCACAGTAATTTTTTCACACTTTTATTTTCATAAATTTTCAATCTTATTTCACTTTGATAACCTCCTTCAGATTTCATTAAAATTTAACGGTTAAAATTGTCTACTACTTTCTAGGAAATTTCGATTTACTTGGTATTTAATTTTCTCTAGAAATTGTTCAATCCTTTAAAGAATCAAACAAAAATCAACCGATATTGTGTAAGCACAGACGGTAACTTTTGTGCTAAGGGATAAGTATGTGTTTGATTAGTTATAATTGGAACTCCAGACAGCTTCAACTATAAGAATATATACACACGCACACATAATCAATTGTTCTTTGATCCCTAGTTGGAACATTTTTTTTTTTTTGATGTAGTTTGATTTGTGCTAAGCATATCTCCATTATTATTGTCTCTAGAGAATTATGCTAAAAATAGCAATACCAATAATTTTGACAAGTTAATGATATCTATTTTGGTAAATCTCCCATTTAGCACACGCATAAGTAATGCTAATGATATCTTTATATATATATATATTTTTTCGATATTGTTCTTCGAGGAAAATGATGGGACCTCAGAATTAAAAGCTACTTGTGACTGGAATTACTATCCATTAACATGCAACAAATAAATTACTCTAATACCTTTAAAAAAAATCTAAACTGGTTTGATTCTTTTCGAGACCTGTATCTGATTAATTTGGCGCAGCCCACAAGTGGTATTATCCCATTAGGCATAATAAACACGTTTAATTAGTGCAGAGCTGAGGAGGCAACAAATGTCTGATATGGTAATGGGAGTGGATAATTTCTCATCTACGTATTCAGTGTGTACCGAGTCATTTCTCACTCTTTCATTGTTCATGTATGATTATGCAAGAAGTTGGGTTTTATAGATACATAATAATAATCAGCATTCTGTAATTCTTCCATCTTCCTCAATGAATCATATGCTTGGATGGTAACCATTGTCGTACATTACAAATTGCCCCACAATTTTTATGAACATAGAACGAAGTTGTTGCAATCGAGGACCGAAGTTTGGAAGAAGAAGAGAACTTTTGAATGGTGCGATATGTTCAAGTCAGAAAATATGAAGATAGAATCGTCCAAGCAAGAGCCTTACGCAGTCGTGCAATTAATCTCGTCAATAAAATGACAATAAGGTAGTAATGTCATAGTTACGCAGTAAATCATAACGAATGCTTATCGTAAAAGGAAGAAAGGGGGTGATTCTGAATCAAAGAGGAAAGCTTGATACTCATTTTAATAAATAATGTAATGATACATATTTATTTATAGTTCCTCTTATTGAAGGAAGAGTACAAAGCAGCCTGCATGTAAACCTATAATATTACTTGCTCATCTTTCTCAAAAAAAGTTGCGTATTCATCATCAATATCCATTCCTTGCACGCAGAGAAGAAAATGAGGTTGTGAAGTACAAATGAGGGTGTATTGGCAATTTCGCGCTCCAAAGTCCGAAATGCCAAATAACATATCAACTGCATGCTCATGCTTCTCGCTTTTTGCGCAAGCTTCCATAACTGGCAGCGAAACGGTATCCTCGTTGCTGCAAGTATTCGCAGTAAAACATGTCTTTATTTCTCTATTCTGCAATTACTATATATGTAAAATTATGAGTTGAACATAGTTGAGTCGGGTCTTTTTTTTCTTTTATTCTTTTTTTTGGCGGGGGGGTGGGGGGGGGCATGTCACAGTAGTTAACACTATTCCGATCACATTTTCAAATATGATTTATCAAAGACAACTCAAAGTTGTTGAAATTTCTTACCTGTCGTTAACGAATGCCAACAGTTAATACTCATATGTATCTTCCATTCTCTTTCTTCTTAAGGTTTGAAAGAGGTCAAGTTTTTCAAGAAATATAAGCTTTACCTACCTCCATAACCATCAGCCATCAGCATTTAGCTTTTCCAAGAGAATTTTGTTCAGAAGCTTTGGATTTGCCTTACCCTTTGATTCCTTCATTACCTGCATTTAAACATAAGATTAGAAAGTAAAAAATCATTGACATTGGGAACAAAAGCCTAACTCAGGATACAGAAAGAATAAAAGAATAACACATTAACAAAGATTATCCAATTTTCATACTTGGCCAGCGAAGTAGCCCTGCAGCTTAGTTTTGCCTCCTCGATATTGTTCAAGTTGCTTCGGATTGTTTGCAAGAACTTTATCTATTAAAGCTCCAATTGCAGTTGGATCTACTATCTGCAATCCAAAAATACATCAGTACTTCATTCTTATAAAATTTTAGGAAAAAAGGATCTGTAATTCTTTTGATGTACCTTAAAGCATACTGGATTTGTTGTACAGATGCCCTTCTTATGGATTCAAAAGAATGGAAGAAAATAAAATAGCTTGGATTTTTCACAGAGGTTCATTGGTAACATATATCCTAGACTCCTAGTTCGACAATTTGAATTTGATGAACTGGGTTTTTAACTTCATTTAGTTTTTACAATTTGAACTTGATGAACTGGGTTTTTAACTTCATTTAGTTTTTATCCAATGTGGGAGAATCTGGGGGTAAATTAGGAATATCTAGATTTTGGAAGTATATATGCCAAAGCCTAAAAAATATACCACCATATTAATCAGTCAGTAGTAATAGTTAAATTTGGTAATAAGAAAAATGTGACATTGTTCACTTAATGTTGAATAGGGGTGAGCAAGCAGTTGGTTTGTTCTGTTTTGACTATTTTTAGTCAAACTGAACCGAAGCGAAGTAGGTTTGAAACAGAACTGGACCGTGTCAAATCGGTTCAGTGCAATTCGGGCTTGGTTTGTTTGGTTGGACTTAGACATGTAAATTTAGAGACTTATTAACTAAAAGAAAAGACTATTGCTCCCACAAACAAGACTATTGCTCCCACAAACTTTTCACTCGTCTTATATCCCAAATTGAAGACAAAACTCGTCAAATCAGCGACTTCACAAAGTAAAATCAAACATTCATCAATCAAGATACATAAAAATATTAGTATAGATTATCAATTCAAATTGAATGAGCATACATTTTAGGCAATTATGTCAAGAGCGGTCAGTTCAGTTATTTGGTTTCAAATATTTTAGAACCATACTGACCCAAAGTTATTCTAAAACTGAATCGAACAGCCGAAATTCGGCCGATTAGCTCGGCTTAATCTGTTTGCACCAAACTGTGCTCACCCTTAATGCTGAGAATATCATTTGCTTAATATTATGGATCACATAATATTATTCAAGTCTATTTGTTATTTGTGTCCAGGTTTTAGTCATATGCCCGTAGAACATTCAAAATAAAACATTGTCACCTCTTATTAATATGATTGCGTAGTAGCATGACTATAATCGTAAGGATATGTGAGAAAGTCCCCTAAAACTTGATGCTTCTGAGGTTAATGATGAAAATGCCAGTCGGACAATGGATATATTTTGGTATTTCTACAAATAGGACTTTAAAACTGTTTACCCTTCAACCTCTTATTTATATCCAACTTATCGTACAGCTTGAAGATGCTTCATAAATCACAAAGCATAAAATTGTCATACTCCATATATATGTGCTCCATTTACGTGCTCTATATGATGAGCATAATGTACATGCCAGTTGTCAAGTCAAGTAGCATGTAAGTCTTTGAGATACTGCTGATACAATACAATTGCAACATTTAAATAAACATAGAAACTAATCATGAAATGTTTACCTATTACATTTTATCCGAGAAGACCAATGTACTTACTGTATATAAGATGATAATAAAATATTAATAGAACCAGGAAACAATTACTTCAAAGTATATGTATTTCTTAAAAACCAGAAGAATAAGCTTCAGTAAACAAAATTATTATGATTGTTGCATCACTTGCCTGAACTAGATCGTTTTCCTTTATCAATGATTTGACAGTTCCACCTTTGGCTATAAGCTCAATAAGTATCTGCAGATATGAAGATAACGGGAACTTCAGAACGGGTTATAGTTGCAAAGGCATATAATGTTGCAAAAGAGTATAGAAGTTCTTTTTGTTTTACTCTATGCAAGGAAACTTTTTTGAGTGTGTATGCGTGTGCCACCAAGAAGTTAATCTAAGGCACCTAAGAAGTGAACAATCAATTTATATAGTTTAAGAAAGCAATTAAAGAGTAACACAAATATGGAGAACATCAAAACCAAAGAAATGTTGAAGCTCTACAACACAATAAAATGAAGTCACTGAATAACATTGAGATAAATTGATTTCATAACCAAGAGACTATTATTTGTTGCTAACATCATTTGCCGAAACCTATGTTGCATGAGTACGGGTACAGGTACCAGTACGGGACACAACAAAATCAGAAAAGGCAGGGTACAGGGGCACGGTTAAAATAGTTATATACACATATCGAAATTAGTGGTTCACATGAGATCAATATTTTTCTACTCACGTGTTATGAGAATCAAAATTTTTGTAACGTCTCTATGTTTACTCTATTATGCGGACTTTGAATTGTAAAAAAGCTCATTTTTTGAACTAGGCACCCAAATGATCATTAAAATCATAGTTTGTAACCCAACAAGTTTCAAGAAATGGACGCGAAGTCTAGGATTTATGTCCAGGAAATGTTTAAAAGTATTCTAATTTAAAACATGCATTGTTTAATTGAGTACATGCTTGTATGCATACATCTGAGGAGAGTCCAAGGAGTTTGGCTACGGGTATGGGCATGGGTACATCTTGGGCATGGGTACGGCTTCAAGGTAAAAGTACCCAGGTAACATAGGCCGAAGCTAACATGGTCACATTTTTAATCAATTAATCAACTGAAATGTAAACTGCATGAATTTGAAAATATCCCAATAAATGATATGCTGTGGATATTTGTAGCTTATGTAAGTAATCAAAGCAGAATATGATCAGAGTGGTTCAAGTCGTACTAGTGTGCCCCACCCAATATTCATGGTATCAAAGAAAATTGTAAAGGAGGCAAAAAGGAGTACAGTTAACAGGTACTGACAAGTATAAAATGTCAATAACTACACCAATGCAGACTAAAAGTATAATATGAGCTCTGCAAACCTTGCTGAAAAGAAAAAAAATCTTAATTATGGGAAATAAAATACAAGTGATGGAAGAACAAAAGCTCTATGCACAAGACTCACCTCCTTCCCAATTTTTCCACTGATGGTTCCATCTTTTATTGAAGCTATGAGCTCAGCAAGCTCTTTTGGAGTGAGTTTGATCTCATTTATTGAGAGCTTTTCATTCTTAAGATAAGCTGCAATATCACCCATAATCCAATTGGCAGCCAACTTCACATCAGCACCATTTTGCAAAGCAGAATCAAAAAAATCTGCAACCTGACCAATTAAATAAAGTTCAAAGGTCAGTTCACAACATCATCGTTGTTTTCTCTATTTTGGGAAACAATGTTTTCACAAATGACCGCTTACATTGACATCATTAGCAAGGAAGAGGACATCTTGCATGCTAAGGCCCATATTTTCATAACGCCGGCGCTTTGCTTCCGGAAGCTCTGGTAATGATTTTCTAATATTGTCAACATAATCTTCTGTGAGAACAACTTCAGGAAGGTCGGGTTCAGGAAAGTATCTATAGTCGGCGAGCCCTTCTTTTTTCCGCATAGTAAAAGTTTTCTAGATAATACAAGGTCGATGAATTAAGCTACAATATTGTTAATCACGTACAGAGTAATATTAATATTAATATGGAAAAAAAATAAAGGTCTCACCTGAGCACCATCCTCCCAAAGTCGAGTTTCTTGTACAATTTGATCACTTTGACCTTCACTGTGAAGAAGAATCTGTCTGGAAATCTCATAATCAATAGCCCTGTTCATTGCAGAAAATGAATTCATGTTCTTTATTTCAACCTGTAGATTAAGAAAATAAACAACAATTATCACACATCTAGTTCTTTGAAAGCTCACTACAAAAAACATCAAACACAAGATAGTGATAAAGATAAATGTCCTTCAAAAAGTTGCTTCATGAACATCTCTTTATTGTTTGTCCTAAAATTTTCAGCCCAACATTAAAACCTAAAACCAAGATACCTAGAGAACATTATATTTTCAACGTTGACTGATAATATATGAAAATCACACAAAAGGAGAAAGAAACAGAAACAATGATTGTAATGAAAGTGTTGCAGGAAGAAAGCAATAGAAGAAACAGAGGCAATGATAGTTATGGAAGTCTTGCAGGAAGGATGAATACTGTAAATATACATATGATGCATCCTCTCTGGCCAGTGGGCACTAACAAATATTTCACATAATTATTATTCTAGTACTCCAGAACTATGATCCAGAGTAAAGGAGCATCACTTAATCAGCCATACATAAATTTGAACGCATCAAAAGTTCTGTAACAAGGAGAGGCAATGTTCCCAGAAAAGTCCTTCCCCTAAAAATAGAATCTGTGCGAGTTCCATAAGGGGGATTACCCCTCCATGCTTGATTCAACATGTCTATAGATATCGGTCTTGAGGCTTAAAAATTACTGAGCAGAACAAGCAAAATAAGGTATTAAAATCATTACACATGCAAAAGATCCAAGAGAAAGGAAGAAAACTCCAGACTGGTCAAAGATTAGAGATATGAAGTGTAAGCATTTGGTTTAACAATTCATCTTCAAAGAGAAAACACAAAGTTTCTCGTGTTCTCCTATGCAAAAGAGCCTCATGTCCAGCAACCTATAAACATTTATAATATCAAATAACTGAATGCAGTTATTTTTTGTGACAACTAGTGGGTACTTCAATTGTCTCACAAGTAAGGTACTGATAGACATGCACATTGAATGATCAAAGTCAATGCTAGATACTTGTTACTAGTAGTGACATTGCAAATATAACACCCCCGGAGGTACATGAAAATTAGGCATGACCCATCCGTAAAAAGGAGGATTGACCTGCTCAATTTTTTTATGTACACTTCAATATATATGTACAACAATACTGAAGAGCAAAATAAAGCAGTGAAAATATGTACAACACTCAGAATCCTAAGGCTGACGCTAGAGTCCACAGAATACCAGAATAGTAAGATACTAAAGGGAACAACAATACATTACAAGTCTGATAATAATGACGATACACATTAATACATGTTCGATAAGTCCAAAGTACTACATAAGTAAGTACGAATTAATTCCTACTATGATTTCCTTTGGAGCTAATCTTCTATGTTGGGGTTTGTAATCCCCTTGCCCTCACCAACTGTATGATCTGCGAATGGATACAGAAACAATAGGGGTGAGCCTAAAGCCCAATAGGCAACCATAAAAATCTCAGGTACAATATAAGGGGATGAATGAAAGGAATAATCATAGATATTTGAACTTGGATGAAGAAATCTCAACATTAAATTACCATAATTATATCATGATCATTGATCGAAATGAAATAACATGTCAAATAATCAAGGTCTATTATTGAGGATTCCGAACTCCCCAATCATGGGATAATCAATAAACCGTGCATGCCTTAATACACCCACCTGTGGGTGTCCTCACACAAGGCATTGTCCCCAACGGGACACATTACTATTACCACCCACCGATGAAGCTTACTTCACACAGGGCATAATCCATGAATATAGACTACCAATCATCAACAAAGAAAAGAATATTATCGTTCTCAATAGTCAAATCATCGAAACAAGTCGAATTGCTACAATATAATAATTCAAATGATATCAAAGGTATAAAGCTGAAACAAACAGCATTAGTCAAGCAATCAACAAAGAGCCCACGTATGAAGTGAACCAAATAGGAATATTATGATAGTGATAAGATATAAAACTTAGCATGGGGAAACTAACTCGAAAGAACTTCAAGAAAATAATCAATCGAACTCTCAAAAAATTGAGAGGAGACAATGAAAGGTTACCTACCGATTGTGTCGGGTTCCTCTTGACCAACAAATGAATACAAGATTCTTTGTCCCATATACACATACACGAATCCATATGAGATTATAAACAATGTCTTTTATTATTATTATTTTTAACTTATAACTCATATCATGGTACATGCTACACTCTAGATGGTTATATCTAATACCTATAATATGCACAACAGCACAAGTAGTGTACATGCAGCAGTTTGGGATGAATGGATGGTAGAGCACTCGATACCCAAAATGCATGAAACTAGTGTAATATGACTCTAATATAAATCTACTTTCGGAATATATAAAATTTACATCAAGGCGTGGTGTATAGTGAGAGTTATGCTCTCAGCAAACTACACTTATCAAGACTGTAGCAGAAAAAAAGCAGAGGTTGCTATCTGGAATGATTGATTCCTTTCGGGTACTTAACATTACATAAATGAGCTTATATTTAGCATACAAGTGATATGATAGATTAGCTTCCAATTTCCATGAGTTTTATCAAATTATCATTTTTATAATGCAAGTTACATGCAAAATAACATAATGGGGCAGACTGGAATTGCCAGTACATATGCAATCTATTAGAACTACGATTAGACTTATCAAATGTTGCCCAAATTAATTCAAACTTAAGCCAACAGAAAGATGATTGAGTCTAGTTCTAGGAACAGAAAGACTTTCATGCATGCATGGTATATATTGAGAGTTATGATCTCTGCAATGAATATAACTCAGGCAAATTATTCTAGACACATGCATTGAATTTAACCATAGTTTCGAACTAGTAAATGATCTTAGAATTAAACAAAAGAGGTCTCAAATGAAAGCTACAAAAGTGTAGTTTCTAAAACAGGAAGAATATCTGCATTTGGATATATACAAAGAAATTTATGTTTTTCTTACAAGTAGGGTATCTTGCTGGAATTTTTGTACGAAATTTTGTTTCAAAGAAAAACTGACATGCAAGCCCTAAAATGTTACATGCAAGGTCCCAGGTATAATATAACTACAATTATTGATTTAACTCAATTCTAACTGATGGAATGGAGAAAGTTTTTGGAGTTTATTTAACCTTAGAGCACTCTTTCCTCCCTTTTCAAGCTTCAATGGACCCTTTCTTGACTATCTTTGAGCTCCCTCTTCTTCTACATGGTAAGCAATGAGTTTAAGGGTGAAAGAAATGAATGAAAATGAGGGGATGAAGGAGGGTGTTGCTGTCTAGAGGGCTGGCCAGATCTAGAGTGTGTGTGAAATGATGGGATTCTCTTGGAAGAATAGGTGATGGGAAGGGTTGAGTACTAGTTTTTTTTTCCATGCACAAATTTCTTGCAATTATTAGCTTTTTGAGGGTTTAAGTTGTAAAATCCCCCCACTAACATGGCTGACCAAATTAAATAAATATGTTAATTAGAGAGTTTTAAAATAGGCATTTAACAGTTAGGTTATCTCTAATCAAAGTTTAAAACATTGTGGGTTTAGGTTTATATGCATGCGATGGCTTAGTTAACTCGGTTATAAAATGAGAACTAGCTAAGTTAGAATCCTCATACTAGAAGACTATATAGAATACAAGGAAAGGATTTACTGATTCATGGACAGGCATCGATAACGGTGTCCGATCATCGGAAGGAAAAAAAATTTGTGATGTTACATACCCCCCCTAAGAAAATTTCATCCCCGAAATTTTACGTACCCTCAAAATAAATGTGGATATAATTTTAGCATCTCAGATTCTGGTTCTCATGTTACCTCTTCAACCCTTCGATTGTTCCATAATACTTTAACTAACAATATGGACTTGTTTCTCAGCTGTTTCTCCTTGAAGTCTAGCACTTGAACTGGTCGTTCTTCGTAAGATAGATCCTCACGTAGGGACAAAGCTTGGTGTGAAATGATATGTCCAGGGTCTGGTACATACTTCTTCAAATTGGAGACGTGAAACACATTATGAATCTTCTCCAATTCTGGGGGTAAGACTAGCCGGTATGCTACAAATCCGATCCTCTCCAAAATTTCAAATGGCCCAATGTATCTCGAACGGAGTTTGCATTTCTTACCACCTCTAAATATTCCTTTCATTGGTGTAATCTTCAAAAACACATGATCGCTAACCTGGAATTCTAGATCCTTACGTCGTCGATCTGTATAGCTCTTTTGTCTGTTTTGTGTCGTCTGCATATGTTGCCGAATGGTTTGGACCTTCTCCGTTGTGTCTTGGATTATGTCAGGTCCGAGTAGTTGACAATCACCGGTTTCTTCTCAACAGATAGGGGATCTGCATTACCTCCCATATAAGGCTTCATACGGTGTCATGCCAATGCTAGAATGAAAGCTATTGTTGTAGGCGAACTCTACATCGGCAAGTGCATAGTCCAATTGCCTCCGAAATCTAAGGTGCAAACTCTTAGCATGTCCTTAAGGGTCTGTATCGTTCTCTCGAATTGCCCATCAGTTTGAGGATGTGCTGAAGTGTTGAACTTCAGTCTAGTCCCTAAAACTCAATGTAGACTCTTCCAAAATCTTGAGGTGAAACGGGGGTGTCGATCAAATACAATAGATATGAGAATTCTGTGGAGCTTCACGATCTCTTCAATGTATAGGCTGGTTAACTTTTTCATGGTAAGGTATAAACTGTGCTGACTTAGTCAGGCGGTCAACTACCACCCATATGGCATCCTCTCCTTTCTCTGAGCGGGTTAGTCCAGTAACAAAATCCATAGTGATGTAGTCCCACTTCCATTCTGCGATGGACAAAGGTTGTAATAGTCCTCATGGTTTCTGATGTTCAATCTTCACATGTTAGCATGTTAAACACTTTGATACGAATTCAGCTACCTCCTCCTTCATACGGTTCCACCAGAACTTTTGTCGAAGATCCTGATACATCTTGGTGTTAACCAGATGAAGACCATATGGGGTCTAGTGAGCTTCTCTCAATATCTGATCCTTAAGCTCCCCATCGTTAGGTACGTA